ACCCTTTTTTCCCCGGGGGGTTTTTTCCCGGGAAAGGGTCCCCCCCCCCCCCCCCCCCCCCCCCCCCTCGCCCTGTGCTCTCGGCACTTCCGTGACCAACGCAACCCCATCCGCTCTCATTCCCCAGCCCTCGTCACTCACTCACGCGTCACGACACAGCTCGCGCGCGCGCGAGAGACTGACGATGGTCGTGTAAGCGATACTCTAACCGTTATTACACTTTAGCGGCTAACAAAATGTGACTTTGATCGCACTTTTGGTGTTGTTGTTTTCATTTCGAGGCTCAGTTCGGCGCTGATGTAGTCAAAGTCAAAGTTGATGCAGTTTACAACTATAACGCATAGGAAGTTATTGAAGAGGATAATGGAGTATATGTCGTTGTCGCGGGCGGCATAAAATTTTTCTTCTTTTTGGTTGGTGCGCGGTTGGACCAACACTGACTGACAAACACTCAACAACGACGACGACGACGACGACGACGACGGCAGTGACGACAGCGACGGGCACGTCCTGGTTTGATCCGCTGGCTCGTTCAATTCGGTGTCTGGTCGACGGTCTAGAGGATCGTGTGGTGCTGGGGCTGTTGCGGCTGTGCGTGCCCATTCGGTCGCGCGTGAGCGAGGTGGGTGGGTCAACCTGCTGGCGCAACAACTTGCAGTGAGGCTCGGATTCTGCAGAGCAGGTCGCTCGAGCATACATTGCCCACATCCCGCGCGGCTAGACACTGTTTCAATGTGAATGGACATGAGCGTTTTTCTTTGACTGACCACAGCGACCCGATGCCGGCCGTGCATTCAAAGCCTCACCGGGATACGCGCGCCCTTGTCTGCCAGGCCATTGCAGCCATCGAACACATCGTGTTTGCCAGCGATTCTTGATTGTGCACCGTCCAGCGCCATGGGTGAGACCGCGTTCTGCTCGTCATGTCCGTCTCCAATGTGACTCAGGCATCAGGTCCTGGCTTGGCTGTGCTCATGAAGCTTGCTGCAACATATTGGCGGCGGCCTCTAGCGACGGCCGTGCGCAAGGCTGCGCATGCTCTGGCCGAGGAAGGCGAACTGCTCAACGTGTATGCCGAGCTCAAAGACTTGCATCAGGCTTTCGAGCGACGTGTTCGCTACCAAGAACGTGTATGTGGACTGCACGATCTGGATTTCGCTGATGCGCTTTGTCTTTAAACGGCGAGCCACCTGGGACGGGATGGCGTGTCTGACTTGGGCGACGTGAGCTTGTGTGTCTAGGCCTTCAAATCCATCTGCAAGTGGACTGAACGCAAGAAGGAGGATCCTCGCATCCAAAAGTTTCTACATGACCTTGCTGTTGTTGACGAGGACGCAAGCAATATTGATCGCACGTACGCTTTTTGGTCCCTTTGCTGTGAAGCCTCGTGCCTGCCCTCATTGTCCGTGGCGCTCTTTGGCCCGGTCATACGTGTTCTTACCCTCGCAGCTACAACGAGGAGTTTAAGATCTTCACGCAAATTTGGAAGGAGGTTCTAGCTGAGAAGAAAGAACTCAACGCCAAGGTCCCGTGTCATGCGCCGTGGCCACCCGTCACACTGTCCCCGCGAGGTGACGGCGGCAGCCTCATGCGCCACGCCCTGCTCGCAGGTTGAGGCCTTTCGAAAGGCGCAACGAAATTTGGATCAGGCCCAAAAGAAAGCCGCACAGCTCGAAGCCAAGCAGGTAGGCATCAGAACTTTGTCTCCATATTTGCAAGGCGCGAGAAAAAGACGCACGGGGTCTGACCCCAGCACGTCGAAGCTGGCCTTGCCGAGAACCTTGGCAATGACCAACGGCTGAAGGCAGCCGTTCATTTGGTTACAATTTTCCTCATTATTGCTGGATGTTATATGATGTTGCCAGGAGCATGACAAGTTTCAAAAGGCCAAGAAGCAGCTCGAGTCGATGCAAGAAGGCCACGACGAGATCAAGCGGGCCATGGAGGTGAAGTTGCTCGAAGTCCAGCAGGACAAACACAAGCAGCTCCGCGAAGGGTACGCGCCTATGCCATTGAGCACGGTCGCCCTTGCCGAGAGCTTCAGTTGACCGCCGCTTACCCCGTCAATTTTGCATGTGTACCTGCCCTTTTCTCTGCGAGCAGCTACTTGAACCTTTATCGTGCCACCAGTAGGTGTCGTGCCCTGTCAGTTATGCTGGATCTGTGCCGTGTTCCTCATGCACCTGTGCTTTGCTCGGGCAGTGTTGCGTCTGCGTAGCTTGGTTCAGATGCAGGACAAAGTGCGCCAGATCATTAACGATTTTCCAGCCGTCACAGATCGGTTTGTCCCACATGGCGCGGCATGCTTCTGTGACAAGTATACATCTGATATCAGATGCTCATGTCACTTGGCCACCTAGGCTTGGGGAGGATCTGTTTGAATTTGGTGCTTGGGGCGAGCCGTTGGAGGAATCACCCACATGGTGCCAGGGCGATGAGGTGCGCTCGGCAAAAAGGACGGACTGACATACTGTCTTCGGGGGCCATGGCTTACCCAATACGCATTTGTGCGCCATTTGCAGCTGGCAGACAAGCTCCGGCAGGCCGAGGCCATCCACAGCCGCGAAATCGATGCCCTTCATGCCAAGGTCTGTTTAACACGGCCTGTCATTGTACCTGCAGTACCTGTTGGCACGCCAGATGGTTGCCGCTTGTTGCCGAGTGTTTAGACAGCGGGTTTGGTGGGCCGCTGATGTTGTCTCACTGCGTGCCGACTCGTGTTCTAGCACACGGCGGCGCTTGAAGCGTTGCTGCGTGAGCGCGATGAGATGGACGCGCAAAAGAACGAGTCCTACTCAGCCGAAGTGGTGTCCATGATGAATCAAAACAAGCGCCTCAACGAACAACTCAAGACACAGCACCAACAAGAACTGGTTTGTAGACCCATCTCTACCCGCGAGTCTGCTTTCTTGATGCGCCCCGCAGTGGTGACTGCTGGCTCATGCATCCCTTTTGTGCCTGGCTTGTATCACGTAGCAATCGGCTGAAGCCAAACGTGTAAAAATGAAGGACACGTATGACAAGGTAAGATCATCCCCGGTGCTTCTTCCTCTCAACAGGGCCACAGTACGCGGACTAATGGACTATGCATGATTTGTAACAGGAAATCTCGGCGCTGCAAGGAAAGATTGAGCAATTGTCAGCGGAAATCAAGTCGCGCCACGCCCAGATCACCGCACATGCTCAGGAGGCATTTCGCTTGGAGGATCACATTGAAGCTCTCAAGCGTGACACCCTAGAACGGGCACGCACACATCTAGCTAGTGGCTTGGACCGGGCTGCGAAGGATTTGCCCGAGCCCTGTAGCGAGGTTTTTGCCGCATCCCTGGCCGCTGCTCGCCATGCCCTGGACGTTCTTGCCACCGAGGTACGTGCGTGTTGAGCATGTTGTGCTGGTCGAGGCTTGTCAACTGGCGACGGTGTTTGTTTACGTGTTGCCAAGTCCCATAAAGCTCACGGTTCTCGCGCCGCCTGTGTCCTCATGATAGGTCAAGGCCCCACATCATGGTTCGTTTGACGACGCATGCGCCGGCTTTGAACAGACCCTAGTATCGGCTGTGTACGCTGGCTGGGGCTTGGCGCGCGCGTCCAAGGCAGAGCAAACCTCTGAGCTGCTTGAGGCACTGCAAGAGCTGGTCTCCGGTGCACGGGCACTCGTAGACAGTATGAAGCTACAGCAGCAGGAGGGGGCGAGCGGAGAAGCGAAGCGGGTTGTTACGCGTCAAAACACCGCCGAGGATGGCGCGCAACCTGAGCACGCCGCTGCAGCCGCGGAGAAGGGCCCGGACAAGGATAAGGCCAAGGAAGGCGCAACGGGTGTTGTGATGATGGAGGCTGTCTATGCCCACGAAGCCAAGGATCATCAGGGCACCAAGCTCATTGGGTTTGCCAAAGGTGAACAGATGGAGCTTCTCAAATCTCGCAAGGATGGATGGTCCAAGGTGCGCATTCGCGGTCTGGAGGGCTGGGCCCCCACCTCATACCTAAAGCAAGTGGCGGCTGCAGCACCTGCCCCGGCGCCCACGGCCAAAGTAGCCATGCCTGCGGCCACTGTGGCAGCTGTTGAGACCCAAGGTTCGTCTTTGCCGTCTGGGCGGAGATTGGATGGCGCTTGAGTCGGGTCTCTCGCGATTGATTTTTGTCGGCACAGTCACCCTGTTCACCATATCTGCCCTCACCACGCCACCACACCATGTCTCAGTGAAAGAGGTCCAGGCACAACTGCAGCGGGTGGGAACCGTGGCCGACGCCATTATTGCGCGGGATCGCGAATTGGCTGCTCTGGCCAATACCTTGGTACGTCGCCATTACGTCGCGTGCAAGCCGACCCTGCAGGGTTGTGAGCTGGATACACTTGTCCTAGTTTTGGCACGGCTCATGCGCCCATGCGTACTGCAGGCATCGGATGTTGAATCGAAGCTGTCGGCAGCTGAACAGTCAGTGTTGGACACACTTGGTCACATTGAGAAGCTTCGAGAGGAAAGCCGCCGCAATGATTCTGGCCGACGCCTGGAGGTCAACACCAACTTGCTCGATTTTGCTGAAAAGGTGGGGGCTGAGGCGGCTCGATCTTCTTTGTCGTGCTCAAGCTCGCCGACAAGCCCGCCTGATGACCATATGTCTTTTATTAGATGGCCAACAAGTTGCGTGAGCTGATGGTGACTGCCAAGACGGTTCGCAAGGTGTTGGAAGCGACACGCGGCCTCAGCAGCACTGATGAGGTGAGAGCAGTGAAGCAGCGAATAGAGAGGACGTTTTCACATATCTCGTGAGTGGATGAGACCGGCTCACCGTGCACATGGATGGTTGCTGTCCTTGCCCTTTTTAGTTCAACGCCAAGCACCAGTCTTGGTTTGAGGCGCTTACCAATGCCGTCGAAGCCATGTTTGATGGGTTGCCTCTTCTGTCGGAGGCGCTGCGCAGCGTTGTTCGCAAACAGGGCAAGCATGAGGAATTGCAAGTGGGCGCTCGCAACATCTCAGCCATGGTGGCACAGTTGGCTGCGCTGACTCGCACCAAGAGCATGCCGGACAACGACACGTCACAAAGCGAGGTACAAAGCAAAGTGGTTTTTGAGACTCGCTCAACTTTTCCCCTTTCTTTACACCACAGAGTTTACAAGAGTAGCCTGTGTAGTCCTGCCCACCCTGTGAATGAGCCTGTATCTCAATGTGCTGGTGTGTGTTTGATCATATGGTCCGACGTAGCTAAACCGGTTGGCCGAGGAGTTCAAGTCAACCGTGCATGAGCTTCTGGCTGCCGTTCGAGAATGCCATGAACTGGATCTGGCTTCCGTTATGCTCGAGGTATGACCTGTGACAGAGAGGGTGATTTTGATGGTAATCAGGTTGGGGCACGGCTGTTCCCACCGCTCACGTGAAAAAAAAAAAAAAAATGACACGGCTTGATTGCAGGACTTTGATGGTCTGTCTGAGACCGAGGCCAAGCGCCTTGTCATGTCAACCCAAGTCAATGTGCTGAAGCTTGAATCCCAGCTCGAAAAGTTTGTTTTTTTGCCCATTGTTTGTGACATTTAAGTTGGCCAATTGTCGAGTTGCTGATTGCTGCTCTTTTTCGGTGTACCCCAGGGAGCATGAAAAACTGCGCCGCTTGCGCCGCATGGTGAACTATGAGGTTTGTTGCGAGCTGCTCCTGTGCGCTGGTGCGTCTTGCCAGTTTTCTCACTGCGCTGCCGGGTCCACTAGGAGCAATAAAATCTCGGATATCTGGTGCTTGACCGCACTTTGCGCCTCAGTGGCGCATGCCATCAAGGCGCAACATTTTACACTCGCACATGCCAATGACATGTAACAATGGCCACTGATTGCGCGTCGCCCTGTTCTCTCCGATTCTGGCCCATGCGTCGAGCGTTACTGAGCGCTGAGTGAAGCTTGCGAGTGTTTCGATGTTGATATGTGCCCAATGCTTACTAATCCATGACTGATGATGCAGCGAGGTGATGAGATGGGGAAAAAAACGTGAATTCACAAGTCTGTGCTTTGGAGCTGGAGGGGCCATCAATCGGCAAACGCCTGGCTCGCGATCTCAGAGTTCTTGATGCGTCGGGGTTTTCTTTTTGTTCTTTTTGGGCGTGGCCTTGGCACGTCGCTTGCCGCCTAATCGCCGCGCAGAGGGCACTTGGCCGTTGCGCAGGTTTTCCAGGGCGGGAAGGAGATCTTCGCCGTTGACAGCCTTGCCAAAGAACCGCTTGAACTCGTCATAGGACATGTAGCCATCCTGGTCCTTGTCAATCACTTGCCAGACCTGGCGAGCACAGAAAGGGAAGGTGTGTGGCGGGGGGGGTGTGACACGGGTCAGTGGGCGTTGCGTGCGATCAATGAAGCGATGCCTGCAGATTGAACAGAACACACAGCTTGCAGTTCACGGGTAATCATGTCCTCAGTCATCATGTCATCCTCGTAAATGACGCGCGCCTCGTCATGGCTGAGGTGGCCGTCGTTGTTTTTATCATAGGCATGGAAGGCAGCGTGGAGATCAAACCCTTTGGGAATGAAGCTCTTGCGCTTGTGCTTCTGTGAGCCAGGTGCAACCAAGCATCAGGGCACCGCCAAGCTGCCGCGAGGCTTGTGCAAATCAAGACGTACCTCAATCGAAGAGCCGAGCACGGGTGTCCCTGTCAGCGTCGCACAGAGGGCGATCAGCACCCAAGCATCTCGGATCGACCCGATCATGGCAAATAGCAGGCCAGGCAAGGGTCCACTTGTCTGCTCCACTAGCCAAGCACGCTAGTCTTTGAATGTCGCAGCCCAGCCGAGCCCATCAGCACTCGTCCAACAAACAGAGAGAGAGAGAAGAGAGAGTGTGTGTGCGAGGGAGACAGAGAGAGAGAGAGATAGAAAAAAGAGAGAGAAGAGAGAGAGAGAGATAAGCAGCAAAGGCACAGAGAGAAAGCAAGCTCCGAGGTAGCTCCGACCCATACACAGATCTTATGTCACTGCGTTCGCTTCCTGAATTAACCCGTTGCAAGCGCCAGCGTGTCTGTGAGAGAGAGAGAGACAGAGAGAAAGAGAGAGAGAGAGAGAGAGAGAGACAGAGAGAGAGAGAGAGAGAGAGAGAGAGAGATAGAGAGAGAGAGAGAGAGAGAGAGAGAGACAGAGAGAGAGAGAGAGACAGAGAGAGAGACAGAGAGAGAGAGAGAGAGAGAGACAGAGAGAGACAGAGAGAGACAGAGAGAGAGAGAGAGACAGAGAGAGAGAGACAGAGAGAGAGAGAGAGAGAGAGAGAGAGAGAGAGAGAGAGAGAGAGAGAGAGAGAGACAGAGACAGAGAGAGACAGAGAGAGACAGAGCCAGAGCCAGAGAGAGAAAGAGAGAGAGAGAACGTTTTCGCGGTCCATTTCTCTGTCTGGCTCTGACCTCAAACGCTGTCTCTCTCCGTTTTTTGGTACGTAGCCGGTCAGCGGGTGGCGGCGTGGCGCAGTGCGTGTTGGCTGGTGTATTGGGGTTGTGGGGGTGCGAGAGGAGGTTGTGGTGTGGTGGCGCGATAACATAGTGTGTGGGTTCAGGCACTGCGTCTGTTCCCATCCTCGTTCTCATCCTCCTTCTGTTTGCTGCAGGCGCGCGTCAGGATGGTCACCGCCACCGAATTTGCGGGCCCCCTGGGCAGTCATCTCCGCATTGATCGCGAGAAGGCCCGCGATGGCTTGCTGCAAGCTCTCACCGATTCCGCCATTGATATGGTACCGTGTTTGCTTTTGGACTTTGGGTTATTCTTTCTCGCTTTGGTTGTTCCTTGTTCTTCCCCACGCTGACAGCTATCCTTTGTCGCGCGATGATCATGGGATGTGTTGGTGCAGGCGAGTGTGGAAACCATGCTTGAGGACCAGCTGAACCAGGCCGACGAGCCTTGGGAGTCTCTGCATGGTGCCCTCATCACCATTCATGCCATTTACCAGCGCACCACCGAACAGACTCCAGGTTCGGTGTCCTGGCCGTCTGCCCATCTTTCCTCTCCTCCCGTGTTGCAGCCAAGGACCGCACACCACATGAAGTTTTAGCCTCCTGCTCTGCTCCGTCGTGCTGTACCCTTCTGTGGTTTGACAGTCACGCTCCTTTTCATCTGTCATTGCAGGCTTGTCACGCGAGTTTGCCGAACGCACAGCACCCCGGCTGACGGCCTTGCTGCGCCACCGAGAACCGCGTATCCGTGAATCGACCGGCCAGGCGCTTGCCGACGCCTGTGCTCGTCACGGCGTCTTCATCTACGAGAACCATGCTCGCGACGTGGTTATGAACTCGATCAAGGACAACTTGGAACGCCATGTCACAGCTGAAGAGCTGGCACTCAAGCGTGAACGACTTGGCATCAGCGAGAGCGACTCTAACGACGTGTTTCACGAATCAGAGGGATGGAAAACCCTTGAAACTGGCTGCAAGTGAGTCTAGCGTCTGCCTGGCTTCTTAGAATCTGTTGGTGAAAACCACATCGGCTTGAGCCAAAACAAGCATACGTGCCCGCAAGGGCTCGTGGTGGTCGGGCTAAGGTTTTTGTGACTTACTCTGGATGTGCCTGGTTATATCACCATCTCGTCAGGGCGTTGCGCCAAATTGCCGAGGCGTGTGGGCCCGCCTTTGCGCCATACATCACGAGTGACCTGCTTGAGCTTGTCTTTGCTGCCATCGCCCACACCAATCGCTTTGTGCGCGAGACCGGCTACTACCTCTGCAATCAGTTTGTTCGCATCATTCGCGAGGACGGCACCGTTGCGCCGCCCATGCCCTACGATGAGTTTAAGATGCGAATGGCCCAGCAGCTAGCCATTGGTCTGGCAGACAACTGGAGTCAGGTTTGTGCCAGCGAGCGCGTCTCCACTTCATCCTTTTTCATTGTGGTGCCAACCATGCATGGTTTGGCTGTTCCAGAGCCGCTGCTGACACTCTTGCATTGCTCACGCGTGGACGATGCTGTTTTTAGGTTCGCATGGCTGCTTCCGTGGCCACCCGCAGCTTCTTGGAGAGCATTTCGGAGGAAGGTCGCACGACTCTCTATGATCTCCTTCTTCCCCGTCTCTGCATTAACCGGTTCGTACAGGCGTGCGCGCGCGTGTTGGGCACATCATCTTAAGGATTGATTCGTGTTGCTTCATGGTGTCTTTTTTTTTTTTTTTTTTTTTTTTTGGACTCAACTTTACCCTGGTGCATGGTCACGCTGTCGCCTGCAGGTACTATGTGGCTGCTGGTGTCCGCAACTTTTGCCAAGAAGCCTGGAAAGAGCTGTTCCAAGATCGGGGCCGCCAGCTCATTGCCGAGCACATTGCTGCCACCGTACGTTTCAAAACCACAACAATTGGGGCAAATATGTTTCCTATTCAGTGTTCTCAAAAAAGAAATTCTAAAATTGGCTTTGGTTAGGTGGAATTTTACGTCAAGCAAGCTCAGGCCGATAACCACGCCGTGCGCGAGGCAGCCTGTGCATGCATCGCCGAGCTGGGCCTCAAGATTGAGTACGATGCACTCCGCCCCTACGTCAAACAGCTTCTGGATTGTCTCCTGGAGGCCTTTGAGGATGAATCTTGGCCCGTACGCGATGGTCAGTCAAAAATGTAGCATCCTGCGCTGCAGAGCGCTTCTGGCCTTGTCCAAGGGCGCCTCGCCCTGCTTCACGATGCGAAAGCTCATGACATGTCTCTGCAGCGGCATGCATCGCCTCGGGCCGTTTCCTCGGCGCTTTCCCGATTGAGGCCAAGTATGTTGTGTGCCTCTTGTTGAGGAGTGTCGCCTTCTGACCTTCCCTTTGGAAAGACGTACGAAGGCCAACTTATCTGCATGCTCACATTTTGTTGCGTGCTCACATTTTGTAGGGGTGAGCCGCTGGACGCCTTCCTCAAGCTGTACTTCCACCATCTCGGGGACAACATCTGGTCCGTGCGTGAAAACGCCGCAGTGGCCATTGGTAACGTCTGCAAGTCTTTCGGTGAGTGAATTGGTGCCATAGAGTGCGTAGAGTCCATTGATGCGCCGTAGTTGTTTCCCTTTTGTTGATGCGAGGCTTTGGTCGTGCTGCTTGTAGGTGATGATCCCAAGGTGAAGGAGTTTGTGTTAAAGAAGATTGATGAGATGCTGCCACAAGCTCACCAGCAATCGGAAAACTCAGAGAGGTCCGTCTTCACAGCCATGCAGCGGCAGCGCAGACGTGTCACTTGAGCAGACTGCAGTAAACTATGCATCCCCACTCGTTCGCTAAGTGGCATAAAATATCGTGTGCCGGCTATAGCTTTGTGGCTCTCGAGAATGTCACATCATTCGGCGTCGCTCCCTCTGGTATGCCCTGCTCTGGCTGATGCTTACTCCTTGCTCTTTTCTTATTCTCTTTTCTTTTGTCTGCACTTGACGTTGATGATCTCTGCTCTCGTGGGTCGCAGTGGGAACTCCAAACAAAGTCAGCTATAGCTTCAACGACCCCGACCCCACGCACACCGACCAGCAGGTAAGCTTCCCGGTTTCAGAGGTTATTCCAGGTGGTGACCTTGCACGAACAGCATTGAAGTATCAAGACGATGCAGACGCATGCTTCTGAACTTGATGGTGGTCCAGATGTTTTCCTGCGGGTCGCTGGCTCCCAAGCTGAAGCGCAAGGGAGGTTGCATGGACTGCGCGTTTCATCGCCCCCAAGAGCCATGGGAACGCAGCGATGGGTGCGTTTCGCGATCGCGGGCCACGCCGTTATCTTGTTCATGGCCTTTTGGCGCGCGCGTTCGTGTACACGTGTCTTCCGTTGACGCGCCTGTACTTGCTTTAGCTGCATGTATCTGCTGCGAGAACTCTCGGCGCTGCTGCCCGATGAGGTAGCTGGCCTGCTTTCTCAGGTGGTTGATCTGGCCAAGCTGCGTCACTACAAGCATTATTGCAACTTCTTGGAAACCCTTTGGAAGCAGGTTTGGTTTGCCTCGCCCCTTTATGGAGCCCCCTCCCCCCTTTTTTTTTTGTTAACGGAATGCACTTGAGATATGAAGCACACTCACCCACTGGTGCTTGTGTCGCAGCTCCCGATCATTGCGAAGAACATTAGTAAGAAGCGGTTCAAGCCTCACATCCAGGGCTTTATCCCTTCAATGGCACACTCGCTGCAGTCGAGCCACCAGCTGTCGCGTGCCGCGGCCGAAGACTGCACGCGCCAACTTTGTGCATTGCTTGGTCCCACTATCTTTCTGGGTCGCGTGGAACTCGAGGATCCGTCTTTGGTCCCGGTTTTCGCTCCCTTTGCCCGTGCCCATTGATGACTCCCCGACAGTGCACACCGTGTCCCCACGGTACCCGTAGTCTTGTTTGTCAATTCGATATTGTGCCTCCTGATATTGCCCATTTTGCTTCTGGAAACAAATGTGCAGTGATAAAGGCCACCAATCATTAGATTAAACAAAGAAAAAATCTAAATAAAGGTTAAAAGGTTTCATAAAAAAATCAGTCCGAAACAGATTTTCGTAGTGCCATTTTGGAACTTGGCGTTGATGCTCGTATCATGTGGTGGCAGTCGCAGGCCGCGGTGGTGGTGCTGGTGGTGCATATGGGCCTTGTCCTTGGTGCACCGTGGGCACAGAAAAGCCTCCTCAAAGACCCTCTTCTCCGGCAAACGTTGTCTGGGGTGGAGTCGGCGATCCAGCGCAATGTTGCCCGAGTTGCTCTGCCAGAAACGGAGTCGGACTGGCCATTACTCGTAAATACCTTGAATTCTCACTTGCTGCCGTATTTGGAAGAGCGCGTGATCTTGCTGCGCGATGCACGTGGAAATCTCGTTGACTTTGAGAAGCTGGAGCTAGCAGCGCAGGGCCTCACCGTGGCTGGCCTGCTCTCAGAGAAATACTCCATTGTTGTCAAGCCCGAAGCATACCCGAGGCTGACAGGGGAGATCCCATTCTTTGCCGCCAACAGCGTCCACGAGGCACTGCAAAAGTTCCTCGGCGTACCCATGACCCAACACTTTTATCTGTCGCCTTCTGCGCAGCGCGCGCTACCCCCGCACACAGACGGCGGTGACATTTTCGTGCACCAGTGGCGTGGCTCAAAGAACTGGACTTTGTGTGCCCCCAACAGCCAGTCGTCCACTTGTCCAAACTGCACATTTGCAGACCTCGCCCTGCAAGCCGAAGCCAAGCGCCAGGCCCTTGAAGGTCAGGCTCTTCTTAGGTCTCGTCATCCTTTCATGTACATCGCCCTTCAGGAAATTCGCGTTGTCGTCCCTGATGCGGTTTGTCTGCCTCACAGGTTGCTCGCAGTACAATGACCTCGACCTTGCCACAATGACTTGTCGTACCGTCTTGCTGTTGGAAAACGACCTGCTGTACATTCCGCGAGGAGTGGTGCACGTGGCACAGACGCACTCTCTGGCTGCAAGCATCCACGCAACATATCAAGTCACGGCGCCTGCAGCCACCTGGCTGAGTTTGATGTTGGAACAGTGTCAAACCTTTACTCCGCAGCGTACTTGTCTTGATATCCAGCGCCAGTTACTGCACGGTCATCTTGGTTTCCGCTGGCTTAATTATCGGCTACGCACGCCTCGAGTTCGGCCGCCCCTGCCTCCAAACTTGAAAGCTCAGGCCTACACACTACCTCGCACCAGGCTGATGCAGATGGTCTTGCGGCCAGCTTCCAGTGCCGTTGCTGGCATACGCTCGGTGAGTCAATTCCTCTTTGAGCCTCGCGCTCTTCAAACGTGGTCTCATCGACAACCGTTGCACGCCCATCGATGTCTCTGTGTTCGGGCTGTTGATGCGCAGCGGCGGTCGACGAAGACGGACTTCAACAGTGTTGACTGTGGCGCTTGCAAAAAGACCTGTGAGGATGGCTGGTATGGGTATTCGGCTTTTGGCACAGCCATGTTGTGCGCTAATATGATCGTGTTCTTTTGTTCGTCTTTGTCTCATGAGCGTTTGAGGTCTTTAGCGATGAAGGGTGTTTTTTATTTTTTCGTTGGTTTTGCCGAGAAGGATGCGATGATTCCTGCTGTAAGTTTCTCCGTGCAGTCTACAGACGCGCTTTGGCAACGCTTACCTTGTCATGGACGATTGTCATATTTGCAGCGGTCATGTGCGACGATACTTGTCGGTGCCCAGCAGGATGGGGAAGCGATTCGGAGGCATGCTTTAGTAAGGCCATGTTTTGGCTTTCCCAAATTTGGCTCACGTGCGTGCCTTGTGCAGCTTCCGTCTGATTCATGACGCTTGTGAATGTGACACCCAATCCTTGGTCTCAGAGTGCGATTCAGACTTTGTTACAGTCGATGATCGCTGCAGTGAGTCATGTCATCTGGCGATATGTTTTGTTTCGAACCCGTCTAATTCATGAGCCTGGCATCATCAGACATTATTGCGATTCTGCTTGAGCTGCCCAGGTCTTTGTTCGGAGGGAAAGTACCACGATGCCGTCACCTGCAGGAACTGCCCCGCAGGTAGGTGCGCTTGGCTAGTTGAATGCATTTGAAATAGTAAGTCATCAGAGACTAGCTTGCATGAGATCATGCTTGAATGAGGACCGCGTCAATATAGGAACCTATCAAAATGCACATAGTCATTCTGAGGCATCGTGCAAGCCCCATGCTCAATGCCAGGCTGGCCAGATGGCCACCGGTAGCGCCAGGTGGGTACAGCGCGCCTGCGACTCTTGAAAATCCGATCTTCGCTCACACTTTGCGTTGCGCTCCTTTTCTCACTGGATCGACCGATCTGTAGCCCAACCACTGACCGGAGCTGCATTGCCTGTCCTTTGGGTTTGTGCTGGGCCTGCCAACGCGTCTCATACACCACTGCCGTTCGCTAACCAGCTCATTGTTTCAACAGGCACGTATCAAGATGCTGCTGTGCATACCTCGCTGGTTTGCAAAAACAAGACGCAATGTACTGGCGGGCAATACGATGCCAATGGAGCAAGGTTCGTGCGCACTCAGCTCTTTCACAGAGGGTCACTGAGAGCAAAATTCACCAGAGCCCGACGACGATGCATTTCAAGCTAAAAGACATGTCGTACATGCTTAGCCTTGTTCAAGACACAAACTGCACTGCGTGCCCAGGGGGTAGGTTCTGCGCCAATGCGTTGCGTTTTGAGGCTTGAGGCGTCTCCACACTCGTACTAATTCTTATCCACGCCTAGGCACATATCAAGATGCAACGTCACACCTTCAGACACTGTGTCATGCCAAGTCGGGTCATTGCCCACCGGGCTTTCACCTCAATGCTGGGGATGGTGCCTTGGAAGATAACAGTTGTATCCCCTGTATTCCGGGTATGCATGCCCGACCCAAACTTGCTTGTTTGTCAGACTCTGCCACCACCTCACTTCTTCCATCTTGCAAAGGTACTTGGATCAACATGACCAACAATGCATCGCGTTGCTGGGACAAGCAACCATGCAGCGCTGGCACTGAGGCTGTGAATCCCACGGACACAATTGCTGACAGCCTGTGCATTCGTTGCCCCCCAGGTTAGCACGAGCGCATGCCGGCTTTTATGTATCAGCCACAGCTCTCACTCAAACGGGCAATAGGCACATTTCAAAATGCGTCAGGGGCTACTGTACTTTGCACGAACAAAACAAGGACTTGCGACTCTGGCGAATTTGTAGCCAACTTCAACGCCACGAACCAAGACTACGAATGCAGCCCGTGCCCTGTTGGAACCGCTCAGGCGTACAGCGCCCATGTCAACACAACTTGTGCTGGTGTGTTCGTCCTCGGGCGCATGCACCTTTTGCTCTTCTCAACCTGTCAAGCCAAAAGCAAACGCCCAGGACATGCAGAGTTTTGTTCTTGAGTTGCTCTCAATACCACTCAACTCGTTTGTTGTGTCGATATAGCCTGTGTTTCCGGCAAGTATCAACCTTGGCCAGGACAAGCAACATGCCTTGACTGTCCCGGTGGTTCTCCGACGGGAGCTTTTATTTGTGCTTCGGCCCAACACAGCTCAGGCAACCCAGAAACCTCCTTCCCCTTTGAAATCGTGACAAGCAGTGCCCTTGCAGCTGTTGTCGTCGTTTTGGGTGTGCTCCTTCTGTTGCGAGCTCGTCGACATAAAAGAAGTAAACTCAGCGCTCAGCCTATTCACGCCGATGGCCAGCTTGCGTTGCACACAATGTCAACGGATTTGGTGGGAGCCGTACATCCCAGCAGTGTGCACCTGGCCCATCAGTTGGGCTCTGGAGCCTTTGGCCTTGTGTACCAAGGCTTGGTGCAGCTGCAGGGCATGAACACAACGCAGATTGTGGCGGTTGAAGTCCTGCCGGGCTCCGCCTCTCTGGAGGAACAGGATGCGTTTTGCACGTACCTCGGTCGCCTTGAGGCACTGGGCCCGCATCCAAATCTTGTTGATTTGCTCGGGCACTGCCTCGGCGATACGCCCCTGATGGGGCTCTTTACTCTGGGTAATCTGGGCAGCCTTCGCGAACTTTTACGCGCAAGCCGGCAACCTTCAGATTCTTTAAGCTTGAAGGGGGCAAATCTCACCTCATTGGCTCGAGATGTGGCATGCGGTATGGCTTACCTAAGCCTACATGGCATACAGCACGGCTACCTGTGCGCTGCAAACGTAAGCCATGCTTTCCAATACACAATTAACACTCAATCGGCCAGCGACACGAGGGACGACGCGTTGTGTGTTCCTGTCACCAAACCGCTTTCTCTTCCTAGGTCTTGGTGGATTCTGATCGAGCATGCCGCGTTTCGCGGCATTGTGCCCCTTTGCCTGCACACAGAACCTATGAGCGGTGGTTGGCGCCCGAGCTCTGGGAGGCCTCTGCACCCTTGTCTCAGCCGGGTGATGGTGCGTACTTTTTTTGAACACCCGTCTTGTGATACAAATCAGCATCTGCTCAGTCACATAATGACCTCCCTCTCGCCTGGTAGTTTGGGCCTTTGGCGTCACGGCATGGGAGATCTTCACGCTTGGCGCAACACCGTACGTAACGCAGCCCGTTTTCGAGCTCAAACCATGGCTGGCATCGGGTCATCGCCTTGAAAAGCCTAGATTGGCTTCTGCGGCAACATTTGCCCTCTTGACAGACTGTTGGGCAGCTGAAGCACAACAGCGTCCAGATTTCACTGCTCTCAATGACGCATTCGGTCAAAGTGAAGCCTGCCATATTCCCGTCGACGGTGCCGAGGCTGCTGGGGCTTTTGAAAGCGCTGTCCCATCGTATGAGGTCATTGATTACGAGCTCGAAGGCCAGCAACCATCAGGCTTGGCGGCGGCATCCCGCCCGCAGTTTGCGCGTGATCCTGACGCGGGCGGAGTGCCGACATTCACCATGAACCCAGTGTTTCAGCCCAGTTATGTGGACGCAACATACGTCCACCTCACGTCCCCATACCAGACGACCCCGGGAGAACTCCAGACGCAGCCAACGTACAACAAACTTTGTCCGTCATCAAGAACCTCAAGAACCACGCTGTCATCATCAGCAGCTGGCACAGAACCATGCTACGCCTTGGTCGACGAGGCATCATTTTCAGCATGTACTGCCAACAATGACGGGATGGGCACAAATCCGTCAGTCAGCATCGCTCACAATGACACCGAGACGACGGCTTTGCCTTCCACAGTCACTGGAAACAACTTGTACGGCGTTCTTATGACTCTGCAACACCTTGCGAACTCGCCGACATCAGATCCAAATTCTCAGGGCACCGACACCCTTGCGTAATAAAAAGACTGTGAATTGTCATCACACAACTTTCACCCACAAGTCATTAATTGATCTTCAGCATTTATATTGAAAAACAAGTTGTGCTGTAGTCAGCTTGTTGGACGTTCAAAGCGAACATATCTTTCGCCTTTTACTGAAGATGCAAACAACAGCTGTGGTAGCTTCGGCTCCACAGATGCTTGCTTGAGATCCGTGGACGTCCAACGCGTAAGCATTATGCTTATTTTTGGAGATCTTTTGAACACTCTCTCTTGTTCAATAGTCATGTTCTTATCTGAATTACAACTGAAGCCCTTTGAATTTTCACAATGTCATATTAATTGGCTTGATGATCATGGCGAACTTTTATCTGACATTTTAAGCAGAGAAGAAGAGCAGGTTAATTCTTGTTGCTGTGCGCTGCGTTTCAACTTGGTCGCGCTTGTGCTTGAGCTGCGGTGGACGAATCTGTACCATGCCCCATGTCGACGCGGTGCCGTGCAAACAGTGCGGCCAGACGTTTCCCAACAGAGGGGCCAAAGATCAGCACGTCTCTCGGGTGCGTCCATCGCCGCACAGACCTTGGTCAACAACATCACGGCTCATCATGCTCGAATGATAGGTCCACCAGAGGAGCACGTACATCAAGCTCGATGGACAAGCTATACTCCGACATCGAGAAGATGACGGCAACTTTTCTTGCCCCGTAGACGAGTGCGACTACCGGCATGATCGCTCGGCTGGCCTCAAATCGCATCTTCGCCACATGCATGACCGAGAAGCACCTGGTCCTGCAACACCGATCCCATCCAATGATCATCCGCTCCAGCACCGAAAACATAGACGCGTGCGCTCCCAGAAGCGTCGAGTTGCTTTTGACCAACAGCACGGCGTGGCCGGGGCTCGGGTGTTCATGACCGACATTGGCTGTCTCGTTTCCCCTGGTTCTGCGTCACTGGTGTGCACGCCCTGCAAACGCGTGCTTTGTGGGAGCGTGCCAAATCACCTGCTCAAGAAGCATCACATTCGATGCAGTCAAGATGACATTGATGCAGCCACGGCACTCCTGCGCTCCCTGCAGCCCGGGGAGCCGCCGATGGATATTGCAACCGTCTCCGGGCCGCGCGCCCCTCTGGAAGGCATACCTATTCTGAACGGCGTGGGTTGCCCCCTGTGTCAGGCATGCTTCACGACCAAGAAAAGCCTGCAATATCACTTGCACACAAAACATGTTGGTGACCCGGGCATCAACCACCCACCCCGACGCGTCAAGTTGCAAAAGCCGCAGCGTGGTGCCGGGGCCCGCTGTGTTGAGGTGCTTGTCGAGGAGAGCCACGACGCCTCGGCAGCCGATGTCAGCGAGAATGAGGAGGAGCTGGAGGAGCAGCAGCGGTTCAATCAGCTGGTATCTAGTATCCAGGCCATGGCATCAGATGCCGAAGAAAAGCGCTGCCCGCATGGCGTTCACCAGATGCACCCGTTCTACGATAGCGTGGGCATGACGCTGATCCTGAGTGAGCTGACCCCAGAGCAAATTCTCAAGCTGGGCCACGACACCCCGCCCGCACCACTTGTGTCGGGCATGCAAGAGCTCTTCTGGGAGGCCCACGCACAACTGTCCCAGCACGGTCTGGCGGCTGCTTCCGTGGCGTCCTTGTTCGAAGATGAAGAGTTTCAAGTTCAGCCGCAATCTTTACCCCAAGTATCTCCTGGCACGATGAGCAGGTACCTGAACATCGCAGCGCGCCTGGTGCATTTTTTACTGCTGCTGGAAGCGATGCCAGCCCCCGAGCCATCCAGCTTTTTGAGCCAGGTGCTTGCCAGCCGTGGGGAGGTCATAACTACAGCTGCCTTGGCTGTGCAAGAGGAGCTGGATGCGGGACTGAGCGGGGCAGATCTTGTCGAGCCCTTGGCGGCCCTGTGGCTGGCGCTGGTGAATGCAGAGCTACACCTCTTTGACAACGACAAGGTGCACTTTGTCAACGTGTTTTTGTTGTGCACGGCCGTTTCCACGGGAAGCGGTCTTTTGCAGGACATCCGGCGCTGGACCACGACGCTGGCCGGCCTGATTTATATTTTCAAGCTGTTTTTGCTCCGGTTTGGCAAGGCACAGCGATGGGCCACTGCGGGTAAACTCAGGCCTTTCCTACAGCCCGGACGGCTGGTGCATTTTTTGAGCCAGCGCATGGCGGCGGCTCGCTCTGCCAGCACGGCCGAGGGGCAGGTTGGAGTGGATATTGAGGTGCAAGCGGACGGTGACATGAGGGACGAGGCGTTGCACACTATCGTTTGTCAGGGTACTGAACTCAACGTGAAAGAGATTGGAACCGCCCTGGCACAGATGCGCAACGATATGAAGGAGGTCTTGGACACCCATCTCTTGCTGGGATCTGGTCTGCGAGAGCAACACATTGGCGAGTATGCTCGGCTACGGTCGAAGGAGGATCGGACCAACAGGGTCAAGAATTGGTGGGTGGGCCATGGCAGCCCAGCTGAGCGGGCCCTATTGGATCACATTGGCCAGACTCCGAGCTTGCGGCAAGAGTTTATCTGCACAGGGCTTGGCCCAGAAGGAGCTAATGAAGAGCGGACCTTTCGGGAAGACCGCGTGCGGGAATGGCTTCTATTTGTGGGAAGGTTCAACCAGCTGGCGCTCACCTACACGCACGTGGCTGGAGGTATGATTGCGATTGAGCAAAGACTCTGTTTGAGAAGCTTGGCATGTTTATTGTACCACTCTTATCTGTTTGCATTGGCTTTGGCGTTTTGTTAGGTCTGCCACCTCAAGCAACCGTATATCAAGGGCTATCCTACAGAAATGGCGTGGGCCGGCAACGGGCCGTATTTTTTGCTGAAAAGCAACTCTTCATATTGACCCGTCTGGGTCAAACCCACGGGCTCTCTCCGGATGAGCAGCACGCCTATCGGTACATGGACGAGGAAGTCAGCAAGCTGATTTTCATGTATTTGCTCTTGTGCAAGCCCCTGGAGCAGATGCTGACGAGCTGGCTGGAAAAGCGGGGTGTTCTTCAAACCCCTTGCGATGGCGGGCGTGGGACCTACGACGATGATCAGGAAGAGGAGGATCTGTTGGAGGACGAGCAGGATGAAGACCACATGAGCCTCGACGATGGCATGACCTTGCGACGCGAGGTACAAGACGCTCAACGCCACTATAACAACAGCCATTTGCTCTTCAACATTGCGCCTCTGCAGACCATGCTCAGCCCAGCCTCCATCTACGCTGCCTTTCGTCGACAAATGACCACCTACCTGCATCAGCCTACGCTGGGAGTGGCAAAGTGGCGACACGCCGCGACCTTCTGGATGACAACATTTGTGACAAACCGGCTCTTTGCCGACCCCGCGAGCACTTTGGGTAGCCTGATGCGCACCCAGGCACAGCCCTTGGGCAACATGGCCAAAGACTTCTTTGCTACCGCAACAAGCAACCAAGTGCAAGCCAAAATGTCATCACGTCTGATGCATCAGCTGGCCTCACAAAGCTGGCATGCCTTTTTGGGTCTTGACCGCAAGCGCAGCGTGGCCGAGCTCACAGCCGCCAAGGAAGCTTTGGAAGTTCGCCACCCCATAAGCTGGAGCGGGTCATCAAAGCTTGAAGTAGGCGGGCGCGTCATCATGGATACGCAAGCTGAGCATGATGTAGCCTACATGACCCAACTGGCCCAGCAGGCACGCATCTCGTGGGGCCACGGCTTTAAAAGCCAAGAACAATTGGACCTGGCAGCGGCCATTGACCAGCATCGGGCCGAGGACGGCTGGCTGATTGTCGTTGCACCGTCAGGCATGGACAAGACGCTTTGTACCATGCCCAAACTGGGTTGTCACCCGCATGCCGGCACGGTGCTGTGGATTGTGCCTTTTGCGACCTCGGCAGACGATTTGTTGCGGCGTTTGCAGGCGGCTGGCCACAGTGCGCAAAGGTGGCTGGGCCCCTCGACGCCGGTAGCAGCTGGCCTGGACGTGCTTATCATCACGACTGGCAAGTTTGTTCGCACAGGGTCTGACGCCCTGCACGCACGTGCTTGCTTCCAGGGCATCCGCACTGTGGTTATGGACGAGGCGCACACGCTCATCTCTGATGCCAGCCACCGGAACATGATGGCTCAAGTCGGGGCCTGCGTGGCCTCTGGCGGATGGACCAACATAAAGCGCGTGGCTTTGACCGATACTTTATGCATGTGCGACCAAGAGCGGCTTTTTCGTCAGCTGGGTCAGCAAGCAGGGGGCAAACTGTACCGCCTGGAAACAATGCATCACAATGTGGAGCTGCGTGTGCATCATGGCGACCAGCGGGCCTTCTTGTCGCACGCGCAAGGTCTTGTAGACAGACAGCGGATGACGCGTCGGGAGAATGAGGAGCGTGTGCACATGATGGTCTTTTGTGACACGGTGGCCGAGGT